CTGACAAGTGTTATATTCTAAAATATATAATGATCTAGATATTAGTAAAAAAAAAAAAGATAAGTACTGCTCAGACAGTATACTAATTAAATAAATATATATAATTTGTGACAATAATATAATTAAACGTGACAGATAATTAAAAAGTTTAAATAGATAATCTTTTAGTAGATTATAGGTATGACATCTAGTATAAAACCCTAAAACAGACTATTTAAATAAGCAACCAAAAGTTGCACACATAATTAGTTGTACTCTCATCTTTATAAAAATAATTATATAAGCTAACTTAAATATGTTAATAAAATACTGCCATGAAGTACAAGCCTTTAAAAAAACCCTATTTATATAATTGATTTGTTATATACTAAACTATTCAGTAACATTTAGTTTACTAACACTGGAGTTTTTTTTCAAAATATGTAATCTTTTTTAATAGTTTTTTTTTTTTAAAAAAAAAAAATTAAGATTTTGGGTTAAATACTTAAAAAAATTTTTTTTTTTGCCTATTATAATAAAGACTAAAACTTGGATAGCAATTAAGACAGACTTCTAACAAAATAATTTTTTGGTTTAAAATTAAAGGCTCAAGATAAACGCTTGGAACATAATAAACTTGTCATATTAAACATAATAACAAACAACCTATTTATATTAACACATTTATTGCATCACACGAATTTCTTTTTGCGCAAGATTGATAATCACTTCTATTATCCGACGAGGGTGGTTTGGCCCGCGAAATACGGTAATTTGCGATAATATTTATAAGGCGCTAAATCAATTTATGTTGAAAGTCGTGTTGATCATTAGTAAACTCTTTAATGCGAGTTAGAAATATTGCTTAATAAAAAATACGTGAAATTTTATCGCTTTAAAAAGGCAATATTCAATAAATGTAGGCTTTGACTTCTTCATTACGAATTGCCTATTTTTATTTTTTTTAAAAAAATTATAAAAATATATAAGGAAATTATAATTTCACACTAAAACTTTTTATTAGTTGAATCAATGCAGATAAAGCTTAATACGTATACCGTGATATAGAATTTTCATCATGTATTAATTTTAAGCATCAATGAATATATTTCATAATTATATACATAATATATATTACGTATATGTAACAATAAGGAATTAATTATATAATACAGTATTTAATTGTATATAAATGTCCTACGTATGTATAGTTATTTTCTAGTTATATGTATCAGACACTGATTATCCGTACAATTGATAAGAGCACTTATTATATTAATTATAGCCCATATAATTTTCAAATTCGCTAATCTGATAATAAAGGATGCCGTGGAGGTTTAATACCACAAGTTTGAAGTAAGGATAACAATTGATATTCCATTTGTCGTACCTATAAAAAAGTAATCAGAACTTTAAATAAAAGTTTAATCTACATCATAAAATAATATAAATATGTGTATATTCATATACATACAATACTAGCAATCTTATTATCACCTCTGTCTGTAATTATTCGTTTTGTAAATATAGTAGCCATCCCATTCAAATTGCCAAATACAATATCAGTCAGTAAACGGTCCCCAATTACTACAATCGTTTCAGGGGGATAACGAGCAAAGTGGGAAATAAGTTCTGACCCACCACCTGGTTTCTAATTATTTAAAACATTTTTTTTTTTTTCTGTGAATAAGTTTAACATGTTGAAAGTAGGGTCTGCAACTAGTGATGGGAAAAATGCGCATATTATAACATGCGCATGAATACGCACGATATCGCATGATAAGAAAAAAAGTCAAAAAAAAGAAAAACCGATCGAGAGGAGAGAAATCTTAATGGGATAAAGTGCGCACGAAACCCATCTCTATCTGCAACTGAACTCGTGCCCATGCCCAACAAAAGGCACAGGCACGGGTATAGGCATGAAAATAAGCAGACACAAAAACTTGGCACGAGCATGAGAAAATTTGGCACGGGTATAAGCACACACAAAATTTGGCATGAAAATAGATACAGAAACAAAAATTGTTATAGGAATTGGCAGAACACAAACACTTGAATATTTATATTAAGGAATGTTCTTTATGTTTGCAGCTAAACTGAAAATGAATAAAATAAAGTTAAATAATTATTATCTTGAACTAGCATCTAATTAATAAATTTTTTTTATACTCACGCATTAAATCAATGTAAAGAATATTTTGAATCGTATTTAAATAGAAATGTGATTAACGAAATTGACCTTATACTCCATTTTATATAGTAATATATTTGTGTATATTATCAAGCGAAGTTGCAGAAAATGGAACCATATTCGCCTTCGCCAATTTTTTTAATATTATCTAGTCATCAAATAGAATCCATCTCTTTATTCTATTTGCTCATCCTTAAATTTTGAATCAAATACTTAAAACCATGTTCACTGTGTTGTACGTGTTCAGTCTGCACATTTTCCTTAATTAAAATTCTTTTATAATCATCGACTACATTTTTCATTAGTCATTCTTAAACATATCGACTGATTTTGATAGGGAAATCCAATCTCTTCAATAGAGGGATTGGTTTTTCTTATCAAAAATCAGCAGATATGATCTCAATGCAAAATGGTTTTATGCTTACCGATTAAATTACAAGATTATTATGTGATTTCACAAATGTGATTTAGAATGACCTGTCTTAGATTAACACGAATAAAATGGAATTAAATAGTATACATTCGGATACTGCCGAACACAATTAATTACAAGTGCCACAATGATGGCGAAAAATTGACAGTCCCATAACTAATATCCTAAAATTTTATCTAAATGTTAATATTTGTAGTAGTATAAATAGAAACATACATCTAAGCTTTGGTGTTAAAAACTTTTAATTCTGATTTACATGGGACTGCCAAATTTTTGCGCCATGACTGTCATTCTTGTAGCTGTGTCGATAAATCTTTCTATACTTAACATGTATTTTCTGAAGATAAGTTAAATTGATTGATAGAAATTTTTATAATAAATCCCGTTCCAAAAATATTATGGTAATTTTATTTTAGGAACAGGCACATTACAAAAAAAAAAAAAAACGGTTGCAACTCGAAATTTGCCCCATGGAACTACCTTATGTTAACTAGCAAAAAGTTGCTTTAAGACAATCTCGAAAACATATCCCCAATCCAATATTGAAGTTTAGTCAATTGACCAGACAAAACACAACTTAATCGTGTCATGTTGGTCAGCTGACCCGGACACAAAAGATTAATAATATCTGGTATTCGTGTCCGCGTCTTTAATAGTGTCTGGTACTTTTTCCCGTGCCTTGCATTTTGCCCGTGTTTTTAATAGTTCACGGCATTTGCGCCTGTACCCATAACAATGTCAGGCATTTTTTTACTATTTGCGGTATTAGACACTCGTAACCAGGCATAGTGCCAATATGCCTGGTATGGGCATTTAAAACCCTTGGTTAAAAAAAAAAAAAATCAAACCTTCGATTTATGTCTTAACACTGGCACATCCAGATTATCTTCTATCTTCTTGGCCTATAATAAATAGATATTGGATCATATTACAAATTATAAATACATAACGAACTATTAGCATTACCTGTTGAAAGTCTGAATCATCAGCTGTTCCAGCAGAATTTGATATAATAATAATGTTTTCACTTCCAAATTGCTTTTTACATTCTTGCCATGCATTCTTTTTTTTTTAAAAAAAAAAAAAAGATTAAATATATAATATTCTTACAAAAATTAAACAATTAAAATAAACAAACATAACCTTAAATGGTGGATATATTTCACTTGCATATGGAGTTGTAAGAGTATTATCTTTATCAAAAGCCAGTGCTTTTATGCCTTTTCTTTTTAATAAGTCGAATTTTATGTCACGAATATCTTGAAGCATATAATATACTTAATAAAATTGAATTTCCTTTAAAAATTTGCAATTCAATCCGAAATAAATACCATCGATTATAATATGTGGAACGGCTAATTGTGGCTTCTTAAATACACTAAAGATACCAAAAATAGCGTTGAAATTTAGACTTTGAACCATTTTAACTCTTGACACTTTCGCATCATGCTACCACTACATATAGATCACCAATCATGTGTCCAGCAAATTGACCAATCGTAAATTAGTGGTACAAATCGTAATCATATGCTGGAAGTTTTTGAATATTTATAAAATTATTGCAATACTAAGCAAGGATGAGAAAAGTAAATATATAAAATAATCACCTGACCAAATTCGATGAAAAAATTTTCATCGAATACTAAAGCTGAATGGTCTTTTGTTGGTGGTTATCTTAAAATCCTTTTTTGTTCATCGCAATGATTTCGAATTGAAATGCTTTCGTGATATCATGGAGTTCCAATTTGGGTTTCGTTTATAGTACAAAAAAAAGTCATCGTTAGATTATGACAAGTATCATTTTAAAAAAGTAAGTACCAGACAATTTATTTATTCTTTAATATCGATATTAATCATTCTAAATTAATTCATTTTCGGTACGTATTATAACTTTTAGATTTTAATTGCTACGTATATTGCACTTTATTAAGAAATTGGTCCTGTTTTACCAGATAATCAACTCCAACTCTTGACTCAGCCTATTCTAATCATTGTATTTGCTCTTTGAACTAATGTATTTATGTCAGTTATGTCTCATTTCGCAGAAATAAAATTTGCTAGCACTAACTCTAACCCTAATATAAATCAAGCTAACATGTCGGTGAAATTACTTGTTGGCAAAATACCTTTCGGGTATTGCTGTATTAACCTCTTACAGTATCAAAACGTTGTTATTTTCTAAAATCATGTCCTGAACTGATCAATCAAAATATTATTGATAGTGTGATTTGGCTACCATTAAGATGAACACTACTGAATTATTGCTATTAACGTTGACTTTCCTATCTCTGCTATTTTAAATAATAACTATCCTCATATTCATGTCGCTAAATTTGTCCTCTCAATTCACAATATGATCTCATGAAGCACAAAAATATTTTTAAATCATGGTAATCTATCTAATAGTTATGAATCTATTTATACTTCAACTCTAATGTTAATTCTCAAAATTAATTATCTAGCATGGCATTAAGACTTTCAAAAATTAATTTAAATATTGATAATATAGTTTTAAAGGTTAAGAGATTATTAAATGAACAATGCTTTAAAATTAATAAGCAAGGATTAAAATTTTGTATCATATCTAAAATAAATAATAGAAGGAAATATAAAGCAATAAGGTATGAAGGTGAGGATAGAAATTTAAGAATTAATAATAATGTACTACTAAAAGATTAGATTATTGTTAATATGAATAGGATTTATTATAGAATTTATATTGATGTTTATAATACTTTTATTAGCCTTAATTAATAGAATTGGCTATACTTTATTAAAGTTGCTAAATTCCTTTTTATTCAACTTACAAATCGAATAAGAAATTTTAAGCATAAAAAAGAATAATATTTCATATATATAACTAGTGATTACATATACAGCAGGTGGCTGTCTGTAAGTATATACAGTACATATTACACTAGCATAAGTAAGAATCTTTGTAATTGGTTAAGCCCTCTCTTCTAAAGAAAGCACATGTTTTTTAGCCCTCTCCTAAGTATTTATATTTATGATTTTAATTTTACTGATTAACATTAATAAAACATCTTTATACTCATGTATTATTAAAAGAGTTTGACAATTAATAGTTACTAGTAAATAAAGATTTGGAATTAAGTTCAAGATAAGTACTCAAAAATTAGTATTTAGAGATAAATACATATTTATGTTTGTGATTTTAATTCTACTATTTAACGTTAATAAATCATATTTATACATATTCATATTATTAAATTGTGTTAGGTAATTAATTAATAGTTATTAGTCATCTCATTAAGCATGATACACCAACTTGATACATTTAAATTAAAATGTAATTATACAAAATTTTATATATTAACTTGCAATTAAATAAATATATTT